AGATTCTGAGCCGATTGGTGTGTGCAGGACCAACATTTTTGGATGTTACAAATATCAGCACAAACGCATAATACACTCCCCACTATAGTGATGTAGGGTATAATTAAAAAAACATTCTTCTAAACACTACTGTTCTCCAAGGTAGACAATATAAGACCTCGATATACTTTGTCCTTTTTCATAAAAAAATTTTAATCAAATAAAAGTCGATCTAGAATCAAATTTTTCGATATGACTTATAAAATACATAAATGAGAGATGGGGGGAAACTTCAATGTATTACCATTATCAGAATGATATAAAATTTAAAAAAATATTTCACATATTACAATTTTATTGCCTGGTTACCTTCACATGCTCATCTTCCAAATTTATGTATGCATACATACTTTCGAAAACATTTAAGTAACACGCCCTTGAGAATTTAATAAATGTGGGGAAGAATGTGAGGCGCCATTACTTAACATTTTAATAAACGCCTTAAATTGCATACAATATTTTTACCAACAAATTTCTTCCGCATCTAAATCCTCTAACAGGCAAACAAGCAACAACAAAACACAGCAACATATGTTGAGGTTGTAAGTATCTATGTATGTTTGTTGTATATTGTGTAGCTACAATTCCTTTAATACATACTTACTTATGGAACATACATATCTATGAGTGCAGTATCATATATAGTGAATACATTGTATGTATGCATGAGTTTTTTGTTTAATGGCATGAGCTGAACTGTGTGGTTTTGATGATGCTACTGATGATGATAATTAGTTAAGATACTATAGTTTCATATTTCATAAACAAATTTTGATTTATTTGGTGTTTTGTTATGGATCATAAACTAGGAAATACTTTTTTTAAAATCTCGTACATTTTTTGGTGGGTTTGTGCTATTAATTACTACTACTAGCATAATGTACATGTGTATACTATGCATATCATCTTGTTTTTGCTGTTGTGTGTTTGTAAATCTCTATTTACATACTGTTTCTTACAGCACTGTTTAGTTTAGTTTTACGCAACAAGTCCTTTTTTTATTTAAGTGCCTTTGGATTGCTACATATCCATGTTTAAACTACGAGTAGGAGTAGAATTTATCCCAAAAAAAGAAACGATAGAGGAAAGTAAAAGATAAACCTAAAAACTAAGTACTTTGAAGTGGGTGTAACCATAGTGTTGACAGTTTAATTGGTATTTATTGCTACTTAAAATTCAAGGATCTTGTTAACAATTTTCACCTCATATATTATCGTAAAATTAACATTTCTAATACGATTATTAAGGAATGTTTTGAATTATGGCGTTAGAAAATTGTGGTTTATTATTAACATATGACTTTGATAAAACATTTTAATATATGTATTTGTATATTTATAAAGTTTATAAATAAATACTTAAGTATGTATGTATATAGAAAGACTGTATAATAGGGTGTCCCGTGTACCACTTTTTCGTAGGGATACCTCTTAATTGATGTGTATTAAAGTACTAAATACAAGAAATATGAAAAATGTTTTTTTTTTTCAAAGAGCCTCAGGACGTAATGTTGAGCTTATCGCGAGATAAATATGTAATTAAAGCATTTCTGGTCCACAAAACAACTTTTAGTTCATTTTAAGGGTCATATAAAATAATCTAAAAATTCTGAAATAGACCAAACCTAATGACAAACCATTTTGTAAATATTTTTGTGTAAAAATGTTTGTCTAAAAATTACAACAATTTTGAAATCTACATATGTACATATTTCAATGGAAAGCAAAAAAAACCCACTAAAAATCATTTTGTGTACCAAAAATACTCTAAAACAATTTTGCAATTATTTTCCCGTAATCAAAAAAATTACGGATTTTCAAGATCCAAGTTCCAAGTTAGTACTATTGGATAGTAGTCCAGACACAAATTATCAGCTATATTGGTCAAGAACTGGTGGACTTAGAGACATTTTGATCATACAGGGTTTTATTCAAATGAGAGTAACTTTTCGCCTATTGGTCCTAGCAAAAATTGTTCAAAGGAGTTAAAATAGTTATTCCATTCCATTCATTGTTTGCATTGTTTTTTTCATTTTTTGGAAATTTTTTAAAATTAAAAAAAAAAAATTTCGAATAAAAAACCTTTTTTTGCTCAGAAGAAAGCTTATAAGATTTCCTTTAAGAGCTTTATAGTTCCAAAGCGAATGGGAATCGACAAAATTATTTTTTAAATCAAGGATAAAATTTATTTCAATATTTGGCTCTTCATTTTACCCATTTTTTTAAATGAACGTTTTTTTGTTTTTTTTTTTTTTTGCTCAGAAGAAAGCTTATACCGTTTCCTTTAAGAACGTCCACTATCTTCTTTCGTGAGCCGATTTTAAACAATTTAATCACCTGACGGTCTTTAAAAGTGGAAGTTTTCCATAGACAACCACTATCTGTTCCCTTTCCATGCTTTTTCTGAAGTGAAATCGTGATTCATATCGATTTACGTCAAATTTTTCACTCAAAAAACAAACCAATTTCAAGCATGAATTCTTATCCTATAGAGCTTTAATAATAGTTATTTTTTGATTAGATAATAATTACTACTATTATAATATTCGTATTGTTTAATTTCTTCAAGAAACTTTCATTCAAAACGCAATAAAAATCATAAATTTACTGTTATTTTATTGCGTTGCATTTTTTGTGCTCGCGAAAAAAGTTCACTTTTTTCAGCAAATATAAAATATTTCACTTTGCGTAATAGAAATTGAAACAAAATTTCGCTTGTTTGGAAGCCCAGAGTTAAGAGAATAAACAGCAAAAAGAAGAGATGGATTCATTACCGTTATTTCGAAACAGACGAAATCGAAGATTATATCGTCACGCGTTGCATATTTTGTGCTCGCTACTGTATATACTATATTGTTCAATAAGCTGAGATGGATTGATTACCGTTGTTTCGAATCAGACAAAATCAAAGATCATATGACCCCGCGTTGCAATTTTTGTGCTCGCTACTGTATCTATATATTTTGCAGCCTTGGCCGCCTCTAAGCTACAACTTCATACCATAGACCAATGCGATATAATCAAGAAACAATTTGCTACCATTTTTGGTCCTATTTGAGAGGTTATAACAGCGCCAAAACAACTTTATTAATGAAATGTTATATGTCATCTGAAAGTCCTTTCTGTCAACTTATAATGGTTTAGTCATATTCGTGGTATTTTTACCGTACACAACTATGGTGTAGAGGATATTATGCTTTGTAAATATTTTTTATAATAAACAAAAATATTGCATCCACAAATATCTAAGAATGTTCCAATCATCTAATAATCACTTTCTGATTCGATTTCACGATGTATGTCCATCCGTCCGTCCGTCAACTTTAACGGATGATATTTCAGCAATTACAACAGATTTTTATTTTAAAGCGGATAGAATGGACTTTCAGATGGCATACAACATCTTATAAATAAATTGGCGCTGTTATAACGTCTTCAAAGGGGCCAAAAGTTGTGTATTTTAAAACTTCTGGACGCAATATTTCGAATACCAGATGTGAGGGAGAAATTCTGTTTTGAATTCAACGCAGCTCAATCCTTTAGAAAAAGTATACTTTGGTCTCTGGACAGCAGATCATATAGTTTTTATACCAATAATTTTTTTTGCGACTTCTGGTGTAAAGACTCTTTTTGGACGACTTCAACGTTTAGTCTCATAAACATTATTATTAAAATTAATAGTGCAGAGTTTGACAAATTTTCTTTGAAAAAGTTGTCACAAATATAGAATTTAATTTTCGAAGCGACAAACCTCGCAAGATCGTAAAAATAACTAATATTTTTTAAATTTTTATTCGAAATATTAATGCGTTTATTCAACGTCCAATAACGTACAATTAAGAACCAAAGAGCAAAATTGTATCCACGGATATTTTTAAATATTTTTAATAAACTTGCTACTACTCCTTGCAAAAACAAATTATATTCTGTTTAAATAATCGAAAATGTTGCGAATTTATATCAACAACAATACATAATAGCAATACTATCTATAAATTTTGATCAAACAAAAATTTAATGGAGCTTTTAAATAAAAAAACACGCCCATTTCCATCTAAACTTAAGATCATCACACAATCAACCAATGAGATCTTTTAAAATTATCTTAATATTTTTCGAATACTATAAGAATAACAAAGAAAAACACACATATGGAGGGATTAAAGATCTTAAATACAAATATACAAAAGACAAAAGAGTGCCACAGAATGTTTATGAGCAATAATTATGTGGCACATTAGCAAGGCAAGTGACAAGGAACACTTTAAAGCATCTTTTAAATACAAATGTTTAAAATTACTTGAATACGAACGAGATAAAACTGAAAAAAGTACCAACAACAACAACATAAACTGAAAAGAAATCTGTGAGGAAAGAAAGAATTGATGATTCTTTTTGTAGTAGTACGACTGTTTGTAATTTTTTTGTTCTTGTATTTTTTCTGAGTTTTTGAAAATAATTTTAGTAGTCAGTTGACTTTAGTATAGTTTAGTATTGCGATAGCAATTAACTTAATTAACTTAATTGTGTATTTTGCTAATTGCTAATTGAATTAGTTGCTTTATAAAAAAAAATATATAGACAAAAATTTAAAAAGAATAAAGAATCGAATCAAAAGGCAACAAATAGCCTGCTTAAAAAAATCATTGAGATTACATACTACGGTAACCTACTAAAAAATTGTTGAACCTAAAGAAAATAAACAACCAGGAAAAAGTGTGTGTTCGCAAATATCAAGATACATGAATGATAAATAAATTAAATAAAAAAAGGTGTTGAGACTGTTGATTGTTGAGATAAAAAAAAACTTATATTTATCTATACAATCAGTCGTATAATTCTATTATTATGTGTCGTTGCCAATAGAAACGTACAAATATCACAGTGACAATTTCTTTAATTAATTGCTACATAATTAAGTTATTTCTCAAGAAATTTTACACTAATTTGTTAATTCGAAACATTAAATTCACATTCATTCGCCGCGACAAGCACTGATTTATTTTTACGCAACATATTTGTTAAATACTACGAAGGCAGCAAAAAAAAAAACATTGCAATAAAAAATCAGAAATGTTAAATTATCATCAACCACAACAACATCAGGAGCAAATGGCAACAAGTATGACCACAGCGGCAGCAACAACAATAACGCCATCATCAAACAATTCAACAACGACATCCGGTACACTATCATCCTCAACGGAACACAATACAATGCCATTAAATTTTTACTCTACTTCCCAACTTCACAATCACAGTAACAATAACAATCCGCAGCATCATCAGCAACAACTATCACCAACAATGGTTGGCAACAGTGTAACAGCCACCACCTGTTCATCTTTACAACATTTACATACTTTAACAAACAATAACAATTATATTTTGACCTCGTCATCATTATCATCCTCAGTACCCACAACTTCATCAACATCATCGTCCTCTACAGCATTATATCATAATCAAATATGCACAAAATTATCATCGCCTGCATCTGCTTCGGAATCCTCATCAACTTCATTGTCTACAACAAAAATTTCACCAAATCTTGCTACTGCACCATCATCATCCACTAGCACCTCCAACGCAACACTACCAATTGCGACAACATTTCTATTTGAAAAAGGTTCGGAGAATGTTAAACGTTTTTCCGTTAATAATTTATTAGAGTTAGCAGCGGTACAACAAGATTATCACCATCAACACAATCACATCCACAGTCACAGTCACAATCATCACCAGCAACACATTACAAATAAACTACAAATGCATCATCAACTCCAACAGGAGCAGCCACATCAACAGTCACTTTTATCTCATGGGGATAATTTTGGTAAGTTGTTTGAAAAGCACAAGTTCACAATTTCAATTCAATTTTTGACATATTTTATTATGCGAATTGATGCATGCCCCTGTTGCATATTAGAAATGAAATTGTTGAAAATTTATGAAAAAATTTCATTATAGATTGAAAATAGCCGCCGGCTTAAAAACTTAAAGAGAAAATTAGTATGCGGAATCGTCTAAAATGTTGACATTATGACAAGGCATATTTTTTTTTTTTGGCTAAAATGATAGTGAAATTGTTTTAAGTGCGTGAAATGGGAATAATGTTCTTAAATAGATTTTCTAGGAATATACTGCGAAAATCGCAATTAAGTAGAAAATTTTATACGAAAAAAAAAATCTGAAAATTTGATGGAATAAGTTCTTCAATTCCCTACCGGCGGCAAAAGTTTTTACTAATGCCATTTAAAATTATTTGTATGAAAATACATTACAAAATAACACAGGCCGACAAAATTTGGAAAAAGTTGAAACCCTAAGACCATGTTAGACGTTTCTTAAGGATTGAGTAGCACTGAATCCGAATCTGACCTCTCGTCCTGAAATTTGAAAAAACGCCATTATTGTCCCTTTTTGATATCTCGAAGAGGAAAGAATGTATGTTAGATGTTAAGCCTTGATTGTAAAGCTAACAGAATGGACTTTCAGATGCCATACAACACTTGATAAATAAAGTTATCTTCGAGCAGTTATAACATCTCAAAAGGGACCTAAAGTTGCGTTTTTTCAAACTTCAGGACACGATATCTCAAATCCCAGAAAAATTTGTCGGCCTGTGTAATTATTGTTTGATTCTAAACTTGCTTGCTAGATCTTTTTGGGGATCTTGCACAGAAAATAATGATTGAAAGTTTTGGCTTATTTTTTACCTTAAAACCTAATTTTATAAATTTGATTACATTTTTAATTGATCAAATTAATATCTTAATGAATTAATTGACAACTTTCATGTCTTTTTCAAAATTTATAAATCACTTTATTTGTTCAAACGTGACAACAAAATGCTTTTTTCTAAATATTCAAACATTTACATAAAGATAAATCCTTCCTTTAACATTGTGAATATTCAATTAGTACTTTGATTGCTTCAGTGTTCAAATTAAGTGATTTTTGAATAAATTGTGAAATAATAAGTAATAAGTAATTTTCAATTATGAGCCGATCTCCATAAAATTTAGCAGAGTTATTTTTTCCCCGAAAACTAGTTTACGTCTAGTTTCGTTGCTTTACTATCATTTTGAACAAGCTATAAGCGTTATAGTCATTTTCTGAAGGGGACCTTATATAGGGAGTAGGGTCAATTATGGATCGATTTCCATAAAATATGGTAAAGAGATTTATGTTCCGATAAAATTTATTTAAGTTGACTTTCGTTGATTTACTGAAATTTTGAAGCAAGTTATGAGCTTTAAAGTAATTTTCTGAGAGGAACCTTATATGGGGGGTAGGGTCAAGTATGGATCGATCTCCATAAAATTTGTCAGAGAGATTTAAGTTCATATAAAACTTGTTTATGTCGAATTTTGTTGCATTGCAACGAAGCAAGTTTAGAGCGTTATAGTCGTTTTCTGAGAGGGACATTGTATGGGGGGTAGGGTCAATTATGGACAGATTCTCATAAAATTTGGTAAGGATATTTTGATTCATATAAAACTTGTTTATGTGAAATTTCATTGACATACTGCTATTTTTATACCAGCTATGACTGTTTACACTGTTTTTCGGAGGGCCACTTGTATGGGGGCTATGCGAAAACATGTACCGATATTGCTTATTTTCAATGCTTAACAAACCTTACCTATTGAGAATATTTGTGTAAAATCTTAACTTTCTAGCTGTTTTGTTCGGACTCTATCGTGTTTTCAACAGACGGACGGACAGACGAACGGACATGGCTAGATCATCTTAGAATTTAATAAGGGCCCAGTATATATATATATAAATATACTTTTGTGGGTCTATGACCAATATTTCGATGTGTTACAAACGAAATGGCAAAAACAATATACCCCTCATATTTTTTGATGGTGGGTATAAAAAAAATGCACTATAGCTCGAAAACAACTAATGATAGGCAAACATAGCCTTCAACTAAAATGTAATAAATTTAATTGTCAACAGAACTGCTTCTGAAGTCGTAGGAATTACAATAAGCGATATATTTGTAAAAAAGCTAATCGGATGAAATTCTCCAACCAGTGTCCGTTACAGTTTTTGAAATGTAATACAGTAGGTTTCTTCAAAGCTTTGAAAGCTTACATAAGACTCGATTATTATCAAATTTTTTAATTGAAAGTTAATTAGATTTTTTGGATTTAAATTAGTTCTACAATAAGGTCAAGTCCATAAATTAAATAGACGAAGATTATTTTGCTATCATGTCTATCAAATTTAAAGGGCTTTTTTAAGGAACTGCATAATTATGAAATTTCTTTACTACGTTTTATTCAATGAAGGAAACCAATGTAGCAAACAAGACATTTTTTAACATGTTTTTTCACTCCTTGGTATATATAACGCTTTATTAAAACGTTATACTTATCTAATTCAAAAATGGTCTTTGTAATGGAACAATCACTTAGACTTAGTTTAGAATTGTTTTATTCTATGAGGTTGATAACATTATCATAATTTGGCAATACCATAGAGATTTTAAGATTTTTAAATCATGACGTAAAATAATGTATATTAGGGTGGCCACTAAATTGAAGTTGCTGATGATCACACCGAAAGTGAAAATTCTGTTCATTCCAATAGTTCGTTTTTCCAAATGTTGACAAAAAAGGAATTTTATAAATAAGGGATTATATGGGGGTGTGGCTATACGAAATAATGGACCGATTTTAACCATTTTCAATAAGCTTCGTCTTTGGGTCAAAAGAGAGTATGTGCCAAATTTCATCAAATTATATTAAAAATTGCAACTTGTAGAGTGCGCCCAAGGTTTACATGGACACATAGACGGACAGACAGACGGATATAGATAGATCGACCCAGAAAGTGATTCTGAGTCGATTGGTATACTTAAAGGTGGGTGTAGACCAATATTTTTAGGTGTTACAAACATCAGCACAAACGCATAATAACCTCTCGACTATGGAGGTGTAGGGTATTCAAATTTTAATAAAATTTGATCTGCATTATATTTCTATCCACTGATGCAGCTCACCAAATATTGATCTCAGGACAAAAAAAACGGTAACTTAAAATGAATTAAACTTGTTTTTTCGGTGGGAATATCAGTACCTTAGTTGTTCTCCATATAAACTGGGCCACCCTAACGTATGTATATGCTTTTATTATTTATCCATAATCAGTTAATAAATAAAACGTAAAAAATAATCAAAATAACTTATGTGTAAACAACCTTATGTGCGTTGATAACATTTCCAATTATTTGTGGCTATATTTGCTAAGACATTTTATTTAAAAATAAATCCTCAAAATAAGAATGTCACAAAACTTACATGATTGTCAATGAAATAAATCTGTCACTTTACAACTGATGGCAATTTGTCAACAATCATCAATTGCCAACCCTCCCAATTAAAAACTCAAACAAAAAAAATCTCACACATATTGAATAAAAAACAGTCTCTGGAGATTTAATAAAAAAACAAAAACTCTTTTGTTTTTTTTATAGAGCTAGATACAGCTAAACTCTTTGATTTAAGAATTGTAGAAATGTTAGTTAGAAGCATGCCCCTCCAATAAAACTAACACGCACACACACATCTTAACCGAAAATACTTTTCATTGCAACATGAAAACATGGAGTAGATTTCAAAAAAGTTTTATTTTGAAAAGGATATACCATGAGTTGCATGATTGCACATGCTCTGCTTGGCTCAACTAAATTAAGACAGACATTGTAAATGCAACAAGATTTTAACAACACTCATGGGGCTGCAGCAGTCACGACAATAAAAAAAAACAACGACGAGCAACAGAAACAGAATCCATTCATTTAGTGTCTGTTATGAGCGTGTAAGTGTTTTTTTTTCGGTAAATGCTCTGTTACGAGTTGTTTCTGGATTCCCTATTTTTTATTTAATTTTTCCTTCTCTTTAACATGGAGTTTTCTGTTTTGTTTTTACATTTAACATTTTTGTTGCATGCATTTTTCTTAATAGAAACTTAAATAAACTTCTACTTCTTCGTTGAGCATTTTGTGTTCCTGTGTGCGGCCGCCACTGTCAACACAAATTAACATAATGTCATGTTGCCGCTGTCGGGGTTGTCATGAAAACCACAATTGCTTGACGTTTGTATTACGAGTATACGACTGTTTTTTTATTTATTTATATTTTTTGGTTTTTAAATCTTTCGTTTTATTTGATGTTGAGGGATTGATATATTTTGATGATATGCTGTTCGTATTATTTTATTTATTTTGGGAAATTCACTTTTAGAGTTCATCTCATCATCGGAATGGTGTATATAAATAATGTAAAGGGGGAATGGAGTTACACGATTAATACTCAGATACAATTTCAAGGTCGTGATTTATATCAGGAGATATAGCAATAAATTTTCTTTAATAAAATTCTATTTGTTATTCCTAAATATTTGATTTGAAGTCGTTATTTGTAAATTTGTCTGGTATTGTTTTCTTAATTTTATTACTACCAAAAATTTAGGATATAACTTTAAAGATTTTATTGTATTTACCTGAATTTTGAGATTTTATTATATTAATTATGAGCCGATCATCTGTATATATAAAAATTAATGCGTGTTTGTACGTTTGTTTGGATTTTATAGACAGCTCAACGCCTAGACCGATTTTTCTGAAATTTTCAGTGTCTTCCTGTATGTCTGGAAGAAGTTAGGTTAGGTTAAGTTGATAGGAGGATGTATACTACATCAAATCCGAAGAAATACACCTAGGCCACTATCGGGCCTGTTGTGCGCTCCTTATCATGAAAAAAAAGGGAACTGAATGAATTATTTTTCAGTGTTCAGAAACTCAGTTTCCTGAACGTA